TGTCTATTCAAGTCGAAATCTCTGAGTTGAGTTCAAAAAAAAATTTTCTTGTTCACTACTTCAAAAAATGTTGGGAAAGGGATAACCTATTGCCTTCATACAACTGATTGTTCAGATATGGGGTTTTACTTGTAAACTCCTTTATTTGGACAGCTAAAACCGATAAATTTCGTAAGCTATTCTATAAATAATAATACAAAGTCTACTGAGATAATCGTCAAAATGTATGCAGTATAAGCTTTACCTCTTATACCACTGACTGTTTAGATATGATTTTTAATACATGTATCTCCTCTTTCTATGCATGCTGTGAATATATGTATACATTTTGTCAGATGCTCATGAAAGGTATTAGCCGAAGACAGCGCTGCTCTTACTTGTTTCATGTTGATTTCCTTATGAAATCACTTTGTTTTTAAAACAAATTCGCAGATTGAGTTTTTAATATTTGTGGAAAAACAAGTGCATGCTATTTAAGATCTGATCTTTTTTTTAATTTTTCCTTCATTGCTAATCAACTCATCGACGTAAGGTAGAATCCATCAGACGAATTGGATTTTCATTTAGACATGGTTTTTTTTTCATGATGGGCGTTCTTCAACCAAATTCTGAAGTAGGGCGCGCTTGAAAAGTTTTCTGAGATAGAGCGCGCTTACTAACTGGCTGCCGAGATAGGTTGATCTTCCACTCAAGTGTCGATATAAGGTTTCGAAAACATTTTTTTTACAAAGAACTTATTTTTCAAAAACTTTCCGTTTTCTAACCTTCAACAATTCCATTTAAATCGAATTCCACAACGTTGATGAACTTTTTTTTAATTCTTGGGACTTATCAAATTTCTGTGGCTATTCGGGTCTTTGATAAATTTGCGCATCGCTGAATAGAAATGGTTAGAAATAAAGCAAATACTTCGATGTTTTTGGTTAAGATGCTTTTTCAGTTGTTCTTTTTTCCTGCTTCCAAATATAATTTTGCAGAAAAAAAACAGACTTAGCAACTCTTCACTGCGTGTAAGTGTCACTAATGTCATTTTTTTACTGAATGCAACATTGCTGAAATGTCCACCATAGCTTCCTATAGTAGCACGAGCTCCAGTGGTCAAATTTGCAATCACGCTGCCTCATAGGTCCAGATGAATTTGAGCGGTGGCCTGGGTCGGTGGAACTTTGACTACCGTTTGATGCTTTTAGAACTAAAATACACCACATATCAAATTTATAATCGTTGACAAGTTTTAATAATTTATTTTTCAGTTATCTATTTTTAGTTATTTTTTATAAAAATATAGTTTATATGTAAAAAAGAAAATGCAAACAAACTTTCTTAAAAATTTCAATTATTTTTGTTAGATATCTTAGAACGTTTTTAGTAGCTATTACTTAGCGTTGATGTTTTGCACTTTTTAAGTAATTTTTTTTTGGAACAAACTATTTAAAATTAATCAAATTAAATAACCAAAAAAATGCAAAGTTGTAAAGCTTGTCAATATGTGGTGCGATTATAATTTTTACACGGGTTGTACTTATGATTTGAAATCTGAAACCAATTATTTTTTATTTCTTTTGCAACAAAAAAAGTACGTATAAAATTTCATAAATTACATATTTTAATGTAGAACATTTGACTGCAAATACAATTTTCACAGCTTTCACTTCATAAACTTTCGCAGTTATTTTCGTATTGGATACACATGTTAACATTCACTTTGACTTGTGCTCGTGTTTTGCATTTTATTTTTTTTTTTTTTTTACATTTTATTGTTTTAATTACCATCTATGAAAATAAATAATCGCACAATGGTTTTACTTGTCATGTTAAATATGCACTTAATAAATTTCATTCACTATATCTACCTACTTTTGCACAATTTTTTTCCCACTCACAGTTATTTTTTGAGCGTTGCGCTCAATTACATGTTGTTATGGTGATACGAGCCCTTATCAGTTCTCCGTCCAGTCGCCAATGCACACACGGGGCGAAAGAATGATAAGGGTACGAATGCACCGGTACCACCACACCAACAAACATACCAACATATGTAGATATTTTTTCATTAGTGCGGTTATGAATGCAGTAAAACACTTAAATAAATAATAAATATTACCGTTATTAACAAGTTTAACTGAAAATAGCCGCGCGCAAATACAACAAAATGCCTGTTGACAGTTGACATCCATCGACCAGCAGCAGCAAGCGGCAAGAAAAGTCAGAAGCAATGAAGAGCGGCGAGCGCGGTTGGTTGGTGAGAGTGTGCTTTTGTGTGTTGGAAAAAAATTGTGAGTTGCCTCTTCTGTGGAAAAATATGTAAGTAATAAAAAAATGGGTTATAAATGAATAAAACATTGAATTTTTTTTAAGGTTCCGAGTGAGAATAAAATACTACAATAATTTTACTTTGGATTCACAGCAGCTGTCAGCCTGTATGTATATGTACATCCATCTATTTGCATACAGTATGCATGTACATACATTTGTGCACATAAATAGAAGTGTTTACTTAAATTAATACCCACATACACACGTATGTATGTACCTACATGCATATGAACGTCTGCGGATATGGATATGGGCACGTTTGGGTCTTTACTTTTATTTGTTTTTATAAATGAATGTAGACATATACATACATGCATACATACATATGTATGTAACTAGGTTGTCTCGTCGTATTTGCATACAACAGCACGCCAAATTAAATTCAATTACATATTCATGGCAACTGTTGCTCAGCCAAACTGTGAACGTAGTTGCCAACGGCCAGTGGTTTGCCCTCACACTTCTTCCCATTCCACGCCAGCATTGGACCAGCGGCAACAGTTGTGCTCTTGGTAATCGGGAGTTTTCATGGCGCTCGTTTTGCTGGTACTAGGTTGCTTCGGTAGCTCCATTTTTTTTCGCTGTCCACATGCCTATTTCGTACAGCGCTTTGCATTGTCAATCATTTCTTTTTTATTTAATCAACATGGCAGCACTGGCAGCGAACAAACGAACGACAAAAAGAGGAAAAAGAAAATTTATTTATTTACATAAAATATTTAGATTATTATTTAATGGGATGTGTGTATACATATATAAATAAGTATGTACGTTTGTTTATGTGTGCAAGTGAGCGTAGTGTGTCATCTCTTAAAATCCACGCGCGCATTATATTTATCTTTAACTGTCAATCAATCAAAATGGGCGTTTGAAAATGGTCACTTGCGCATGTTTGAACAAATTGTCTGTCATTGGTACTATTATGAAATCGTTGGGAACAATTTGAAATATTTAAAATACTTTATTTAAATACGCTATGTAGGTATGAGCGAAAATAAATATTATCGGTGCTAGTTACAAGTAGTAAAACATTTTGTAGACATATTTAAAATTTTATGAATATCCGTATAATCCGGATATGCGAATATATGTGTTTGAAAAATCCGAATATCTGGATACGAAAATGAACGGATATTAAACTTATAATGGGCATCCGAATATAAGGATAGTCACATCCCTATTCATAAATAAATACGAAAGCAAGTCCGATAATGGCATCTATTAATCATCGATGTGGCATTTCAATATCGAGTTTATCTTATAGGCCACATATAGGAAAATTTCGGTATTTTTCATGATGTTGACGGCAAGGTGCATATAAATTTAATTTACGATCCGTGGGAGCTTTGCAGCTACTCGGCATTGCCCGGCTGATGGCCCTCTCGTGGGACAAGTGAGGAATAAAATATATGTTAAGTAATCCTCTAAAAAAGGTGAAAGAAGCATGAACTTCTTCAGAACTAGATTTCCCCTAGATTAGAAAAAGCCCACCACAATGAAGACTCCAATCACACCAATCAACCTTAATACCCTGGTATCTCTGGTATAAAAGCTAGTTCCTCTTAGCTGAAATTTGAACGAGCTACAGGGGCTGCACCACAAACACCGACCGTCTTCGAGTTGTAAGCTCACCACCCAGATTTCTAAAGCATGGCACATATTCAGCTTTATAAGCTACGTAAGGGTCAAGCGCTTCTCTAGACAGATCACCAGGACTTTTTTTTTGTTGTAGCTTTTTTAATACGAGTCTTTCCACAAATCATCACATACTTATCAAGAAAAATTTGTGTGCAGTTTTTTTTGTAAGCTCTTCAATTTGATTTGTATTTGGTTTGCTCACAGCGGACTATTTTTTGTTACTGTTTCATTTCGGATTCTGCTTTTAGTTAGTGCATTAATGGACTTAATTGAGTGAATTTAGTAATCACTAGTTTTGTTGTAAATAAAATTGGTTTAAAAACGAACACGAAGACAATTTCTGACGCTAATTCGAAGATGAAGATAGATATGCATACGGGAACGAATACAATACGAACACGAATGGAAACACGAATACGGAGACGAATTCCAAGACGAATACGACAACAAAGAAAAAGATGAATATGAAAATGAATATGAAGACGCATACGAAAATGAAAACGAATGCGAATACGATTACGAACACGAATACGAAGATGACTGCGAAATCCAATACGAAGACATATACGAATATACGTTTAAGGAAGTGAATACGGAGATGAATACGAATACGGAGGTACGAAGCCAAAGTCGAAAAAACGGCAAATTGAAGACAAAGACAAAGACAAAGACTAAGATTAAGGATAATTTAAATGTTATTATTAGCTTAAGACAAATTTCTGGCAATATCAAGCGAACTAGAAATAAATCGAGGTAAGAGTCGCTTTAGTGGTGTGATGCGGGTGTATTAATTTATTTTTAATTTTTAATTTTTGGTTTTTTGTTTTTGTATTTTAAAGGGAATTTTTATGCTTTCGCTTTTTTCCGTCGTGTGTTTTTTTTCTTGTTTTAGCATCTTCCTTCCATTCCTTTTTATCCTTTCCCGGTCAAAGTTCCCTGCTGTCAAACTTAGAAGTAAGTACATAAAATTATATTTTTTTAATATAAAGAAATATATATTTATGAAAAATTTACTACGTACGCACGTTCATTAATATGTATCAGCATTTATGTTTGCAATAAAAAGTATTTTTTTCCCTGTCAGAGTCAATTGTTCGTTTAATCACTCAACCAATAAACCCCTTATCCCCGATTTGCTGCTTATACTGCATGCATACTTACATACATACATACATACATACGCAAATAGCTGAAACGCAGCGAACGTCAAAAGATAATTACATTAAATTTTCTCCTTTGTCATGCGCTTTTCACAACTTTTAATTAAACATTTTTATTGCAAAATAGGAAAAAACAGTTTTGCTGTCACACACACACTTGCACATTAAGCTTTCACCTACTTGTGTATATATAGGTTTCACAATTGTTGCATTTTTAATTGTTGTTTTCACATAGCTCGTGTAAGCGAAAGAAAAAAAAAACAGAAAAATTT